TTTGGGGGTACCCTACCTTGTAAGCCCCGTCATATATGGCCAGCCGCCGCCTTTGGGCACTACCAATCATTTTCGGAAAACGACACCCCTGAATCATTTTGTGTACTAAATGATTAATTAGCCCATCACCATCATGGTACAAAATGTTTTACTTTTTACCGAGACATGGATTTAGCCGCAGTGGTCGCTGATGGTGGACTCACTCTGTCTCAGTAGCGGCGGAACACCTCCAATTAAGGAGGGGCAGTGGGCGCACTGCCGACTTTTGGTCCTATTCTTTCCATGCAACACCCATAGGGCTAATGTTAAAATGCCAAAATCAAAGGGGGGCACGGTGCCCCGGTGCCCCCCCCCCGTTCCGCCGCCTATGCTCTGTCTCCCCTATCTTCTACATCATCATGGCCGGCTAATGGCTTTTTGTCATGAGTCACTGGGACTGCAGTTCCAGTGACCCAAAAAGCCATTAGGCCATGATACGTTGAAACTTGAGAGGGGGACTCATTTACAAAATAATAAAAGGGCGAATGAATGCAAATTTTTACACTCAAAAATGAATTGTACTATGTGGTCTAGTCAAATACTAGTTCTCAGCACGGGTTTAGAACAGGGCCCGGGTCCCGTCTTAGTCAGGATTTGTCGATGCAGTCTGAATGCACCTGACCCTGAGGAGCTCATTGTTGCAGTCTAGATGTTTTTTGGGTACCTTATTTACTCGCTGGACGCTCTGACCAGCGATACTGGAAAATTATCCTCTACTCTGTATTTTTCAGTACAATTTTTTTTTTCAAAAGAAAATGTTGCGATTAATTCTTATTTATTCATGTTGAAGCCGCACTTAGGTCACCAATATCGAAAATTCGAGATATACGTTTCTACATTTTGTCGCCCTTATCAATCTAGTCAAGTTCCGAATCAAATTATGTCTGGTGAAGGCTGAAGCTGTGGAGCGACGTTGTTTTTCTTATGACTTGGTCACTCAACCTGACCTGACGTGGTGACCTGCAACCAGGGCTGCGGAGTCGATGGATTTTCGGCGACTCCGACTCCGACTCCGACTCCGGCTTTCAAAAACCAGCTCCGACTCCGACTCCGACCCCGGGCAGAATTGTCGACTCCGACCGACTCCAACTCCCGACTCCGACTCCGCAGACCTAGCATGGGGCTGCGGAGTCGACAGATTTTCGGTGACTCCGACTCCGACTCCGGCTCGGGTTTGTAAAATCGACTCCGACTCCGACTCCAACTCCGGTCACAACTGTCGACTCCGACCGACTCCGACTCCGACTCCTACTCCGACTCCGCAGCCCTGCCTGCAACCCTGAATTCTTAGAGATTCCGGGGTGCCGTCTTTTAGGCCTACCTAGTAGGGGTCCAGCCCTACTAATCATTTTGGAATTTTAACATCAACCAATTATGGCCTTGTATTGCAAGAATGACTTCGGTACCCTAATATGAGTCACAAGATACATACCAATTATTTTCAGAAAGTGCCTGGTATGAAATTTTTAGAACATATAGAGAAAAAAATGCACCGAAGGGCGTACCAAAAACGCGTAGCACCGTCGCTTATATAAAAAGAAATTAAAAAAAAAAAAAACCTGGGCGGGGAGGACGAAAACGCATCACGCCTCCCCGGTGTGGCCTGAGAAGTTACGTAAACTTTCAACTCAGTGTTTAACCCGGCACCGCCTGGGCTATTTCCGTACCCACATCAGCCTGGGGGGGGGGGGGGGTCGGATCCGACCCCCCCCCCCCTGTTATCTCGAGAACCAATGGTCGTATCGAGCCCCGCGAGGCGGCGTTCGAAAGGTCTCTACGAGACCTTCCCAAAGCACTCTTAAGATTTTAAGATTGAGGTCAACTTTCGGGTCAAGGTCAGGTCAAAGGTCAAATTCAGGGGTTTTGCATGATTAGGCTTACGGACAGCAGAATCGATAGCTGCTGCTCGAAACTCACCACAAATGACCTCAAAGACCTAGTGAAGGTACCATGTGCGTATAGGGGTCATACTAAGTACGGGTCAAGGTCAGGTCAGGTCACGAAAGGTCACGGTTTTCACTTTCTGCTACATGGGCGTGCGACACATGTTTTATGGCTTATTTTTCACGCCAAATCCGATGGTAATGGTTATATGTGACCCCAAGTCACTGTGCTGGTGATAAGTGTGCATTGAAAGCATAAAAAATCGTTTATACCATACATAACTAAACGAGGGCTAAGAAAAAAAAGTCAATTTTTCAACTTTTTATTTTTGACATAAAAATGCACTTTTCTAGACCAGTTTTGTCCCAGGAATCTAGTGGTGCAATTTGTTTTCACATGCGATGTTCAGAAGTGCCTCTAATTCGCGAAAATGCTTATGACGTCACCATGCCCTATGCATGTTGGAGCTATTTTTTACAATTTGGGGGTCAAAAATCAAGATAGAAAGTTGAAATTTGGGACATCTAATGTTCTAATAGAGCTCTATAACATATATTCCGGTTTTTTGGAAATTCTCAAAATTTTGGATTTTATCAGCTGTTTTCCAAAAAAAATATAGTTTTTTGAATTTTTAGGGGTGAAAAACGCATTTTATGGAAAATCCGAGATAGACATTTTAAAGAACTCGTTGAGCTGCGTCTTTTCATGTCCTTAATTTGCAATTTGCATAAAACCTCGATTTTTGGCGATTTTTTAAACATTTACCATTTTTTGACTGAAAACGCCATGTAGTTACATCACTAAAATCGATATATCTCAAAATTTTTTGAAAATTTTTTCTTAAAAATTGCACAGAAGACGTCAAATTGATGGGGGAGTAGGTATGCGAAGTTTCAAGTTGATAGCGCAAGCGGTTCATGAGTTATTCAAGAAAAACGGAGGGGGGGGGTCGGATCCGACCCCCCCCCCAGGCGGTCGCGGGTTAACGTTGGATATAGTATTTGTGCTTACAACGCATGTCTAGGTCATGTACGCACTACGCACCTCATCATGATTTCATGTCAAAGCTTCATGGGTCAGGGATGTCAGCCAAATTATTATTTTTAAATTACTCAAAGGGCGCCGTCTCAACATTGGACATGTATGTAGGTACTGCCACTGCTTGGCTTTGATTAATTGGCTCAGATGTGTAATTAAATGAGCTGTGGATGAGCTCATTAAGAACTCGTAAAAAAGATTAACTACCTACCTACAGCAAACTCGCTAGTGATAAGTCTGTCAAACCGATGGCGGTGCAAAAGCGAATCCTCCTGTAGCCGGTTCCTACATCGATTACACTTTAAAGCAATGACCGAAAGTTGCCCTTAGCATTTATGGTCGAACGGACACCCCCTTAGGTTGTTCACGAATAGGTAAGTCTCGTAAAAAGTAGCTGATTTCGACGAAAGTTCTAATAAGTACCTATCCTCCAGGCTATCAAATTTATATCTGCCCTGAAAATTTCATGACCCTGACTCTAACGACCTAGGATGTGTGCGCTTTCAGATTTTCTTTGATAACAGACGTGCCAACATGTGAAATGGCTGTTGACTCATTCATTTGGCTGGCGGTCAAGTTGACGGGAAGATCAGGTCAAGGTCATTGACCTTTGGCGATTTATTGTGACTTTTTCGAAATATATGCATTGGATATTTTTTTCGGACTGCGTCCGAACTAACTGTAAACATCCATTTGAACGTCCGATAAGACGTCACTAAAGTTGATTGAGGTCATCAGTAGAGTTGCAAAATTTCCCTACCGCACTACCGGCATGCCGGTAATTTTTCACTACCGCAGGTTTTTTCGTGGTATCTGGCATGTCTTGCCGGTAGCATGCCGGTATTTTTGATTTTGCACAAAAAATTATCAGCATATGATTCAAACTTTGGACACTAAGAGGCTATTGAATTGTAATAAGTTGGACAATGGGTGGCTGTTGGGTGGGGCGGTTTCTGAAATTGCCAAAATGTGGCATCTCATGTAGGGGTAAGCCAAAATCAAGAATGCAGGTTTTTTAGTATGCCGGTAATTTGGCGGTTTTTTTTGCTTGGGGCGTGGTAGCATGCCGGTATCCCAGAAAATGTTTGTGGGGCGGGGCGGTGCCGGTAGCAGCCCATTGGGAAAACTTTGCAACTCTAGTCATCAGAGTTTTTTCCCACAACTCCCGATCAAATTGAGCTGGCGATTCGGGAAGGCCATGGCAATGGGCTCAGAACGATTCATCCGCAGAGGACGGTATGTTTCATGCAGCCGTCCTCGATCAGCTTCGTGACTTCAGCAACTGTGATCTGACCTTGACCTGACGTCACCACCCTGAGCTGACGTTTCCCGAGATAATTTGAGTCCCAAGATGACTGTCAGTCCCAAGATTCAGTCAATGACTGAAAAGTCTGTTCACATATTTTGAAGTATAGCATCTGCTAAGATTCGTGATTATTTTACGAGTAGTTATCACGTAAGTACAACATTTTTTTTTTTCGAAACCTGAGCTGAGGAAGGCAAAACGGGGTCAACAACGGGGCCAATCCTAAGCCGTGAGACATCTGCCGTTCTGTTGTATGCCGACTGACCCAGGCGACTCCGTCACTGTATCCGGCGAGCGAGCGATAGCCCGTCGCAGCACCCACGCCCCCTCTCCCCTCTCCACCCCTGTCGGCTGCCGCCCCTCGCCCTCCCTCGCCGCCCGCCGCCGCCCGCCGCCCGCCGCCCGCCGCGTCACTGCCGCTGCCCGCCGTCAGTCAGTCGGAGACCGTCGAGGGGTGAGGGTGCCGCGTGCTGTGGACGCTTGAAGTGTGTTGAACCGGACTGTGTGTGACGAGTCTGGTGGTGACGGCTCAGTAGTATCAGAGCTGTCAGAGCCACTGCCAGACGGTGCGGTGCGGTGGAGTGCCTTGTGTTGAGTGTGTGGACTTGTGGAGTCGTGTCGGTTGGAGCGTGCTACGAAGTGGAAACTATTCGAGGTGACGTCTGCCGGTGATTGAGGTGAAGTGAGGCGAGGTCATCCGTCACCCTGTTGATTCAGGCAGAGGTGACGGCGCCACGGACGATTAGCGTGACCTCCGGTGACCTCTGGTGACCTCTGTGATGACGCAGCAGGGCGGCGGCCGGACCGGCTGGGCGAGAACGGACCCCGTCCGTGTTGGGGTCAGTCTGCCAGCGCGGGCGGTGGGCGGGGTCAACAATATGCCCTCCCGACCGGTCGGCTCCAGCCTGCCGGCCCCGGTGCGGGTCAGACAGGCGCCCGCCCCCGCCCCCGCCCCCGCCGAACCCGAGGACGAGCTAGACCAGCTGCGGCGCGAGTTTCGGCGCCGAATCGGCAGCGACTCGGACGACGAGTTCGAGGCGTTTGTCAGCAAGACCCAGCAGCGCTTCCAGCAGATGTTCGCAGACAGCGAAATGCAGGGAATGAAGAGCCTCCAAGGTCTGCAAGGGATGCGGCTGGGCCGAGACGATCCGTTCAGAGAGATGGGTGCTAAAAACGGCGGCTCGCCATTAGCATCGAGTAAGGCGCGGCTGGCGGGGGCCAAGGACCTCCAACCGGCGCCGGCGCCGCTCAAGGACTCTGTCTCCCCGCGCCGCATCGGCGGACCCTCGCTGTTCGACAAGCAGAGTTCGCTGCTGGACGGCCGCAGTTCTCTGCTGAACGGCTCGTCGCTTCTTGACGGAAAATCCCTGCTGGATGGAAGGTCCATGCTGGATGGTTCGTCTCTGCTGGGCAGCAGGTCACTGCTGTCCAGCCGTCTGGGAAGGTCGGAGGACAGCCCGGGTCTGAGTGACGCTCTGGTGACCCGCTCCGGCGGCGGTCCGCTCTCGATGCCGTCCCGTCTGCCGTCGGGCGTGCAGCAGACGTTCCAGTCGTCCTCCACGAGCACGACGGTGACCTCGAGCGGTGGCTGGGGTCAGCCGAGCGTGACCCGGGTCACTCGACAGCAGCAGCAGGAGCACACGCACAGCGACGGCTCGGAAGTCCGCCAGCAGCGCGCGCACAAGACCGAGGCTGCGACTGTGACCCAGCGCGGAGGTCGTACACATGTGGATGCCCAGCGACAGGAGCTCTCGCACGACCGGGCCGTTCACATGAGGCCCGACGGCGCGGCGCACGTTACAGAAGAGGTGGCCGCATCCGGAGGCTCCCGGCGTGGCGTGTACGAGGCCAGCGACAACGGACCGCGCCAGGTCTCGCTGAGCGGGAACGACTACAACGTGCGCGCCCAGCTGGGCGTGCGTCAGGCTCTAGGCGGCGGCGGAGGCGACGGTCAGATGATGCCGCTGGAGGGGGTCAGCGGGCCGCTCTGGAGGTTCTTCGACGCCGGCCCGCTGATCCAGCCGCCGGGGATGCGGCTGAAATACAAGATCAACGTGCAGGCGTCTCAGAGCTCCTTCACTTGCCTCGACGGCGAGCTGCCAAAGTGAGTACAGAGTACTATCAACTTCCTCATTGCGCTATCACAAAGATGATGTATGTTTGATAAGGCTTAGCAAGGAATGCACTGCCATTGATAAGGACATGATTCCCGTACTTCAGTTTCAGTCATAGTTACAGTCACAGTATCAGTACCCGAGCTTTGTCTATGATAAGTGCTGATTAGTGACTGACTCAGCTTATGTGTCTTCAAATCCAACTTCCTAGCCGAGCTGTATACATGGAACCGGCGAGCGCGTCTGTGTCCCATTCTTCTCCCTCTGGCGTTACTCCAAGGTCGTCGCCGTGGTTGGTGTATTTGAACTCAGATGTGTGACCTTCCAGCTAGTCTCGGGTCTACGGCCGAAGCTCAGACAGTCTCTCTAATTGTTTGGCGCTCCATGAGCTAATGGATCGAATCTCATTGATTCTTTGTTCCGTCTCTTCACGGGCGCGCCCGTCGTGGCATCCATCACCGCCCACGCTGGAAGACAAATTATTTTCATTTGCGCCAGCTGTGTAGGTCGGAATACCATCACAGTGTAATGGGATCCACCCAGCGAGCCGAATGGCCGATACTGAGCACCAACAACAAACAGATCAGCCCGGTCACTGCGGGGCTTCTCATGGGCGAACTATATTCTGATACCGTCCTCAGCATACCAGCTGAGCCAGGGGGCGTGCCGAGAGCTACTGTGGCTGTTCAGCGCTGCCGAGCAGCGAGCTTTACTCGCCACGTAGCGCTCAAAGTCACCGACGCGAGGTCCGAGTTTCACAAACACGCCAGCTCAACCTCTGACGTCACCATCGGACGGTGACGTCAGATTCAGTCTGACGAACCACGAACCAAGCACAGCTGCTGACTTTAGTTTAGCACGCCACGAGCCGACACGATCTGATCGACCAGCACGTGATCAGCGGCACGTGTGGTCGTGTGGAGGTCGTGTCGGGGGAGGGGGCGTGGCGTGGTGTCTGTGGTGTAGGGAGGGGCGGCGGGGAGGGGTCATGGCTACTGGTCGGCGGAGTGGTAGCCAGCGAAGTCACGTACGTACGCGGATGTATGGGTGGAGCGCTGCTTCTGCCTGCTGGGGTCACGTCACCTCGCGCCTGGGATAGTGTTCCTCCACCCAAGCCACCGAGGGGGCCTGCTGAGGCTCCCACTGATACAGCTCCTTACTCGCACAGTGAGAAGAGGCGGCGAAGGTGAACAGTAGCCGCCCCCAACAGTCGCTGTCTAGCGTCTGACGGCTGAAGAAGGCGCACTGTCATTCGTCAGAGACTGGGCTTTGCGATGGTTCATGTCTTTTTTTTCCGGGTAAGCGTTGCAGTGGAAACGCCATGGGCCATAGTATCCTTACTCGGTGCCGTCTATCACTCGGCCCTTTCACACCTCTTCGTTATCTTCCTGCCTTCTTCCTGCCTGGTTCGTCGCCCCCTCGGTCCTCTATTCACCCTCATACATAAGACCGCTGTGTCCCGTTATCTGGGGCCACATCTGGTCCACCGCCCCAGGGATACCTAACGCACACCTGGCCCATGATCCGCCGCGTCACTTACGAGTCACGTTCGGAACGGCCCGCCGTGCTCCGGGCGGTGGGCGGTGGGCGGTGGGCGGTCAGTTGGGAGCGGCGGGCGGTGGTCTGTAAGCGACGGGCGGCGGGAGGCGGCACGCCCTCACACCAGCGCCTAAATACCGGCCACAATACCAAACAACACCCTCACCCAGCAGGTCACCGAGCTGTAGCCGGCCGCCCCCGCAGCACTACATGGGCCCCGGCGCTCCGCGGGTGAAAGGGCGGACTGGTAATAGGCAGAGACGCGCTCAGAAACAGGTGTTGTTTGTTTGCCTGTCGGGAATTTCACCCATCCGCCTACCATCCCTGCTGCTCATGCATACCGAACAGGGGCCTTTGGGGCTAGAACAGGGTAGGCCTTACCGAAAGCCGTTTCAGTTTTCAGTTTTCGATTATCCAATTTGACAGGATATAGGTAGGTGACAGGTCGTAATAACCAAATGTCTGATCTTCAGGGCGAAATGGAATCGTCTAAAGCAATACGTTAGTGCCTATAGCCTGCTCTTACATCGACGCGCTCTTATGTCTTCCACTGTGGAGCTGCGCCGCTTTCAGCAGCCGAGCTGCCGATTCCTGTCTGTCCCGGTATACGTACTGCGCCGAACCCAGACAACCGGAGCTGCGACCCAGCGTCTCCAAACAGTCATCGCTCTCTGTCACCGACCGACAGCCCGCCGGTCTCCCTCCTCTCCCCTCTCTCCTCTGACGTCAGACAACAGTCGCGCCGTCCAAACGGCCCTCTGCCCGCCCGCCGTCGGTCGAATACGGAACCAGTCATGTTATTGACGTTATTTCCGTCACCGGTTTGGCTGAGCAGACCGTGGCCGAGGCCAGAGACGGGATCGGATGAGTGCCTTCACACCGGCGTCTGAAAAGATCCGATATGACCCCTCTCTTGCATGCTCGCTGCTTCTGTGTTGACCTCGGCAGCCGTAGCTGCATAGGCTCCGCGGATGACAGCCAAATGGCTCCACTCTGCCGGTATACGGCGCTGGTAACAGACCGCCGAATGGTGCCGTTATGCCACCGATGACGGGCGAGAGAGTCCCGGCCGCAAACACTCCGAGGTTAATGCGCCTGCTGATTCGTTGGGAGGATCTCTAAATTCCGCCGCACGGGCATTACGGTTAATTATGGCCATTCGTCTCAGCTATTGAAGTGCCGAAAGCTCGGCGGGCGTGACTCATCATTTTGCAACGATTCCAACGACAGCATTTTTTCTGTGACGTAAAGTGGGCTTTACGGCGACTATCTAAAATCGTGGCGGCTCGGCATGCCTTTCCTACCTTTCCTACAGCAGCATGCTCAAACGACCTGAATAACGCATCAGTATTCGTAAAAAAATAGATAGAGAAATAAATAAGGCAATGCATTGCCTCATTTAAGGCAACATTGCAATGTTATAATTCGAAACAATTTGCTCACGGATTGCAACTCTGTTTTCTCACCCTCCTGTTAGCTGCTCCAAATTCCCCTCAAACACTCACTCCACACCCACCAAATCACTTCCCTCTCTCCGTCCTTATATCACCTTTGACCCCACCATTCCGTTCCTCCTGCCTAAGGGGCTGTTTACCCACCGGCACGCGTATATATCACCGAGGTCACGCTGCTCATCCTTCAACCGCAGCCCTCTAATGTATGCGCGTTCCCGGGAAGCCGGCTAATTTCCATTGGAGAGGCCCCGCCGAACCTGCTGAGAGCTAGTGTTTGTGACGGGTCTGCGAATGGCGGAGCTGCGGGGATTGTGGTGGTGGGCCCGTCTTGATTGAGAATGGCGTGTGGAGGGGGTATTGTTTTGGAATTGGTTCCTTATATGGCCCGAAAAGCATGTAGCTTATAAGGAAGTAAGGATCAGTAGATACAACTGTTGATAAGTAATAATTTTATGTCGTAGCTGGTATCTAACATCTTGAATAGCATTATTAAACATGCAAAATGGCTTCCACATACCTACCTGTGGTCAATTTTAAGCGGACCCAACACTGAATTACGGGGGAAAATATTCGAATCTCTCCAGGCATTACTAATTTTCAAATTCCAAGGTGCATTCATATCGATTTTCGCATTATCTATCATGATTGATGTGTAAGTATAGTTGCTGATCACTGATGTTAGGTAATGATTCTTGCTTAATTAAAACACATCTCATGAATGCTTCTCTATCTTTTTCGTTCCGTCAACTGGAGAATAAATGTCCTTTTGCTTCACAGAGATATCTTGCATTCGGGAGGTCAGAGTCGGAGTTTGATTGAATGGGATTGTTTAATGTTTATATGTCCGTAAAATTTGCATGCTGCCGCCCTCACCGTTGTTTGGACAGCCATTGAATGGCCAACAGCCATGACCTCTTTCCGATCAATAGCTGCTCATCTCAGTCGTGCAGTTATAGGGTGAGTCCAGCCTGCCACTCACGATACAGCGGAAATCACGTATATTTACTGCAACTTCAATCACAGCACCACTTCAGCGTGCAACTCGGGCTCTGGCGCCGGAAACTGTTGATACTAATCTAATTGATTGCTCAAATGCATCTAACACCAGATCAAAGCCTTATATGGCTCGGGACTCTTCTGGCAGTTTTTCCCTTAGATGCTGGCATCAAGCTCAGCAATTACCGCGATGACGTAGCGAAGCGAATGATTTATATCCTTGACAATATCTAAAGGCCGCCCCACACTGGACCTCGCATGCGGGTTTCGAGTTTTTGGTTTTTCGGGTTTCTTTCAAATCAAATAATACAATCTAAGCTGAGTGACCCACAATACAATCTAACAAGCGAGTCTGCATATTTTTAGCATGCGAGCCAGCTTGCATCGCATTCCAAAAGTTGATTTTGAGTCAACTTTCGATTTTCCTCGCTGCGAGGTCTGCGAGTTCTGCGAGGTTTGCGGGTTCTTCGTTGGAGTCGAATTTTGGATGGTTGCGCTGCTATTGCGACTATATATGTAATTTTCTGAAGGTGTACCGGCTTCACTGCATTCATGAAGTTACCATAAGGGAACGCTCTAATCACTCTATGAATTAGTACCTACCTATTATGCCCGCAAACTCAAAACCCGCAATCTCGCAACCCGCATGCGAGGTCCAGTGTGGGGCGGCCTTAAAGGTGAATAAATTCATATCCCTCTCCTGTCCAGCAAAGCTGAAGTGAAGTAGCCAACCACTTTCCTGGCGGGATACGTGTCGGGCACGCCCTTCTAACGAATCAATAAGGCCACCCTGCCACCGCCGCCGCCGCCGCCGCGTCCATGCCACAGGGCGTGGTGGGCCGGTGTAGCTGTTTGCCATGGCGCCTACCAGGCATATTCGAACGGTGTTGTTGGCCGGAAGCTATAAGTCTGCAGTCACTCTGACACTCCGAGATTCAGCGTTGATTGTTCTTAAGTGTTTAGGCGTTCAGCAGTAAAAAACACTCAGTATTTCAGAAAGGTCTGTCTAGACCTCACAATTCATATCGGTAGGCTGCCCGTGACGCTAAGGCTAGCTTTGTCAAGTTTATGACCAGATAAGCACTTATCTTATAATCATATCTGTGCCCTGGTTCCAACCACTGGTATGTGGCATTGTCGCCTTCACGCTTCTGAACGACTCTGTTATTCAGGTCAGTCATTCGTCAAACGGTTTTGATTGGCTACTGCCTCCATGCAGTAGTATAGAAACCAATGTTAATTAGTCAGGTTCTTAATCCATTCTCTATGTGGCTTATAATGGGATGGGTCGCCATCAATAAATCCCATCATCATTGTCAGATTAACCATGGGATAGGTATCCATGCACAATTTTAAATTGCAGCATTGGAAGTGATGTTTTCACTTTATTCTGATCGATTTCTGTAAACTGTTTCTTATCGACATATGAATAAGCGTGTTTAAAGTCCACACAAACAAGCATGCTGCAAAAAAGTAGGTAAGTGTGGCAGATACGAGACAAAGCCGTCTGGCGACCCAATCACTTCGATAATTGTAATCTTATCAGCTTCTTGTAATGCCTGCATGTTTTCGCTTATAATAATCATCCCGCTTGGACCACTGTACGGTTATAAAAAAAAAACGGAATCTCTCTCATCCCATCCTTCAGGTGACCTTGTCACCCACGTCACAACAGTCGTCGGCCGAGTCGTATTTGGTCTGGTTCATGACGTCAAAAAAGATATCACCATAGTAATAGGGAGGAGAGATTCAAGACGGAAAGGCTGCGGAATTCACGTCTTATGACAAAGACGGCGTTCCTCTGAACCAACATTTGTTATGATCATTAGCGTCAGTAAAATGCTAAGTACCTATTTTATGGCCGATGACTGATAGGCATGAAAGTAAGCACTGCTGCGTTCAAGTCCTCAAATAGACTTTTTAACGAAGCATATGCCTTATATACGTTTATGATGTGTGTCTGTCAATCTGTATTTGTGAGAACGCGAAGTGAATGTGTTACGTATACATACAGTAGGTACGCAGGCATTGCGGCACAGCATGCCTACAGGGGTTTATCGCTAGTGACATCTAGCGGCAAAAACTAAACACAGTCAATGGATAGGTACTCCGTGACGGATTAGGTGCGTGTTCTTTAACGTTTTACGACGCACCAAACTTATTAAATGCATCCTAGATCAGCTAAAACTGAAGAATATAAGCACTTCCCGAATTTTAGCGTCACATTGTCAAACTCGACAGCACGGGTTGACCACTCACAGCCCCATCCATAACATCCCCCAGACACTTTCCCAGCCACTGAAGCAATAACACACCACGTACTCCGTCTATAGTTATGACAGGACCCCGACCCAACGCGGCCCAGGAGGCGCGCTATGCCGGGTAGTCGTTTACCTCGCCGACAGACAACTGCTGGCTCTCGCTTGGCAGTTGGCACCGTCAAACGGTCCCAAGTTCAAAGTCGAGGTCAGTGGGAGTGACATGACTGGGGCTCACAAACCTGGATTGATTGGGTGGTAGTCTTTCCCTGAAGCCTCGCTTCTGTCAGTCCAAACTGGTCTCCTTTCTCTAGAATTGTCATGGATGTAAGAGATGGCGTGGCTCTGTCATCCAGCTAACAAATAGGCCAGGCTCTGAGAGAATATGTTTACTCTCACGTTCGGTGTGAATACGCAGACAGCTGGGACCCGGGTGTAACCGCTGTGAGACTAGTCGGCAGATTTACTCGACTGGTGTGTGTACGGTGAGGTGGCGCGGCGGTATGCGGGGTTTACACAGCGTGTGACCTTCACGCAGACGGTATGATATCACGGCAGCGGCTGCAGCGAAGTAACTAACGAGTAACGACCGCAGAGCCGAGTCGCAGAGTCGTCTGCCGTCTCTCCAACCGTAACCGCCGGCCTCCCGCTCCGCTCCCGTCGCGAACTCTGTCCGTCGCGTGGGTCCACCGCAGCCTCTGACTCAGCCTCCCTGGACTTTGTTGATACATTTTCACACTCCGCCGACAACGTAGAAAGTCTGGCAATGTTGCGAGACTGGCAGCGTTGTTTCTGCTATGCTGCACGTGCTACCGCTGTCATGTTGCACGCGCTGCTAGACGGAGCCTGTCATCATCTGAGGGACACTAGGTGCTCCTGACAGTCGTGCTCGACATGCTTCTGGTGCGTGTGGTGACCGTGGTGGGCTCCGAGCGACATACCGCGACCTTTGGACAGATTCCTGTGAGCGGGCCCGCTGCCAAAGGTCCCGTGATGACGTCTGTTGGCGGCGCCAAACTTGAGCTTCCCATGGGACCCAGCACCGCCGGCAGAGTGATAAATGATGGGCGATAGGTTATGTACTGCTGCTTATCTGGTAACGTGAGGCTTGAACCTTGATCACACGCAGGCACGTTTTGTGGTTGATAAAGACGGCGCACGAATTTCTGAACGAGACCTTGAGACGGCCACCAATTCATCAGCCGAAAACCAGAGCATTGGTTGTATCTTGATATTGCGCCAAAGCCCATCTGTCTTTCTCACCCTTCTAAATCAAGTCTTCCCTGTTGACTGCTGCGGCTGCTCACTCTCATTGAAGCCAGCCAGCCCTCTCATGCTGTCCCGCCCGCCTAGTCAGACGGTACCCCGATATGTTTACGGCGTAGTCTGACGGCCGATCTACGTCACCGTCCGATTGACCGACCGCCCTCGGCCGAACGGACGCGACGGACGAATCACCCCTCCCCCCTCCCTCCTGGGTCTGCCCAGCTGGCCGCGCCTTCACTGACGTCATACCACACAGACATACACATTACACACACAGATGCGGCCCCGTCGGCTCACCACACCTTTCGGTGTATTTAGTGATTGATAGGTTGGGGAACGAGTTTGGTTGTGAAATGCGTCAATACTGCTTGGTAGGACTGATTGTTTTATACGCTTCTTTCCTCCTAAGATGTTGTGTTTTTTTAGCTGCTCCCTTATATTCTATTCAGTCCCAATTTGTCCCCACAATTCTCTTTGTTACTCTGATTCACGTTTTATATAGCCCGTTTATTTTATTATACTGGCCGCCGGGTCGTCGACTGGCAGTCTCTCCATCATTGTCCATTGTCCGGCCCGTCTGTCGTTTTTACCAGAGCTCCGCGGCGCCGGAAAAGCCGTTGTTTGATGTGGGACGCGTGTCGGCGCGAGACGCCGCGCGGCGGAAGCCTTGTTCCGCTGTTGTGCTCTGTCTCGCCCACGAGAGCCTCCGCCACCTCCGGCCTGTGCGGCTTCCGAGCGAAGTTCGTCGAAGTTATCAGCGCACAATGGACCAGTTTTTCTGAGCGTGACGTCACACAACAGCGTCATTTTTTGACGTCATCGTTGGTGGGCTGCTGCCGCCGCGGCCGGTTACACCCATCAAGCCAGTTAAGGCAGGCGGGACGGATATCAGGGAACCGCTCACACCACGGCGGTGCAAGGGAGCCGCGCTACGTCAAAGCTGTATGATACCTCACCACGGCCCAGCCTGGATACGGCTCGATGGCAGATCTGCATTCGATCGAATAATTAAGCTGCATTTCCTTTTATCCTCGGAATGATTACGGAAGTGCTGTTGTCAAATCAAACTGACTTATGAACCGTGCCAGCTGCAGTAATATCTAAGTCCAAATTATGTCAATAGAGCTTGTCTTGACCGGTCCGAGCACCCCATAAAGCGTCAGCTGCGACTGTCTCACCAGACTCTCACAGCCCTGAATCCTGAAAACTAGGCTGCCTTCTGACACGCCTACCGTCTGCTCTGTTTGGCAGGATCACGGGAAACCAGATCGCCTTCGAGGACTCCTACGGCTCCGAGTCTGAGTCGGACGACGACGATGACTTCACGCCGGCGCTGGCCGGCGGCTCGCGGTCGGGTCAGCTGGGCTGGACCGGCCGGCCGGCGCTGGGCGGCTCACCTCGCACCGCTCAGCGTCAGCTCGGCTGGTCCAACAAACCAGCGCTGCCGTGGCGGCCTCCCAGCCGGGCCGGCTCGGCGGAGCCCCCTCCGCGGCTGGAGATCACTGAGGTCCCCGCGGAGCCGGCCTCCGAGCGGCCCCTGCGGCGCCACCGGCCGCTCTGTCGCCTCCGGCCGTCCGGGTCACCGCCAGGGGCGGATCCAGGCTCGGCTCCGGGGGCGGCGCCGGCGGCAGCCCTGCCGTGGCGGTCGGCCGCGCGGCCGCCGTCACTGGCGCCCTCAGAAGCGCCCTCAGTGGAGTCTGAGAGTGACCTGGAACAGAGCGAGGTGGACTTTGAGCAGGTGGAGCGGCAGCGGCGCGAGCGGCTCAGAAAGATCGCCACCGAGCTGCTCACCACGGAGAGGAAATATGTTCAGGAGCTGCACCTCATCGACCAGGTGAGTTGACATCGATAGGGCTGCCCAGTGCCCATTTCGGCCGAGTGGTTTTCTCCCTTTTTAGACCCGAGTGTACCCGAAGACAACAACGTCCCTGATGTTGCTGCATTTCCGCAATTAGCGAATTTGTCTTTTCACTCTCACGCTTTAGCCCTATCAGGCTGGGCGCCTGTCATCTCAAACGGTGTCTCATGCCATGTAGCAAAGGTGGTTTAATACCGCAGCTGCATGACATGGTATATTTGACAGCGAGGCGATGTCGAGGTCAGGTCTATCTGAGATCTCGATGCTCTTTCATAACACGCACTCGGGCGTTTATTGCGTGCAGCCGACAACAAAACTAGTCCGTGGAGAAAACATCCGATGTCTCGTGTTGATATAGGGGTATTCCATGTCAACCGGGACAGCCAAAATCGGTCACCTCTGCGATTTTGTTCAAACTTGGTATACTTATTGCCTATTGGGTGAAACCTCTGAGGGTGAAAGGATTTTGTCATATGCCCTCGGGCTACAGAGATACACGCTGCTAAACTTCTGCTTTTTTAGCAGAATTGGACGTGTACTGCAATCTTGAAAGATCTATAGCTTCAACATTTTTGAAGCTATTAACCCTCGCCCGCACATGCCATTTTCCCATCCTAGAACGCACATGGGGGGGGTGGTTGCCACCCCCCCCCCCGCGCCATTTCGTTCCTGTTGGAGATAGAGCTTAGCGGTAAAGACCAAAAAGATTCTTTGGGAAGAGACGAATCCAATGATACCCAGTTTTACCTTTTCAGGTCAGTCATTGACCTTCCAGGTCAGGTCAAACTAAAAAATGTTGCTGTTTTGGGTCACCGTTTGATATCAAGTGCGCTGCTTATCATATACCGATGACGATGCCGTTTTCTGGTGCCAAGCCAGCTAGAACCTCTTTCTCACACTACCCGACCAGGTTTTTGCTGCTGAGGTCATTTCAGGTCAAGTTAGGTCAAGGTCAATTATATGTGTTTGTATGTCTGTGTGTGTCTGTGTGTATACTGATGTGTGCACCGATTGTTTATGTGTCCATATTACATGAAATCATGATCTGAGAAGCTTTTACCAAAAATGCAGTCAAAAAACTTCACAAAAAGTAAATTCCGCTTGCCTAAAACGCAATTATCTTAGATGACCTAGGTTGACCTTGACCTTGACCTTGACATCTGTACATCGTCGAACAACATGTTCTTTGATAGGTGGGAGGTAAGACTGGTAAAAAAGGCCGAAATCAAGGTGTCAAAAGCTCACAAGGCCCATAGCCAACGCAAGATGTCGAGAATTGGCCATTTGGGTCATGACATGACCTGAAAAACAAGGTCATATCTCCGAAACCAAAAGTCACAGAAACTTGAAATTTTCAGTGGACATCAAGAAAGGATAGACGAGCAGCTATACGAAAAATCAGCCTTCTAGCTCTAAAAATGTTGAGTGCAGAGCAGAAAGACTACCTGGGGGGGGGGGTGGCAACCACCCCCCCCCCCCATGTGCGGGCGAGGGTTAATTTCAAACAAACTGAAACGTGTACATAAGGAGTTATTCTAGTAAAATTTGACAATTTTTACATTTTTTGATGATTTTGAATTTATTTTATTTTGAATTAATTTCTTAAAATGTAATTTGTGAAAAATGGGTACCCTTCGATTTTGCTCAAATTTAGATATTGTTTTCCACTACACGTAAGGCACAGGTGCTGAGAAAATTAGAGTGGGCCAAAGATAACTTCGGATGATATAGCAACAAGAAGTGCAACGTAGCACGGGCGGTGGAAGGGGCCGATTTCGCTAACCCCACCTGTTTATCGCCAATAACTCACGCCATAATTATTATATTAACGTCAAACTTTCAGTACCTGTCCAGAATCGAATTGCGAATCCTCCCGTGCAAGAAATAGGTAAATCGGTCCACAACTTTTCTAGTAATGGCGGTGTTAAGTTAAACATTCCTGCCGGAGCGGCTCGGCGGCCGGCGCCGGCCGTTAACGCCTGAATGGTAGACTGTGCCGGCGCGGGACGGTTCATCTTTGCACCGCGCTTCTTACCGCTGATTATGATCGATTCGTGTCAAATTTGGTGTGGAGGCTTAAAAATGTACAGGCAATCTAATGGTCAAATACCTACATGCGAAAATCAACAGGTAAAAATTGAATTATTAGGGCGCAAACACAATCTGTGAATGAGACGTTTCCCGCGTCGGCCGATCTCCGCCTCTGCCGGCGACATCTTACTCTTAGCAGGCCAATAACTGCCAAATTTATGGTTGCATTAGCTAGAGATTCTCATAACACTACAAATGTCGTATAAAGGAAGAAATAGGGAAATCGGCCATTAACTCTTAGCGCTATGGGCGTATAAACGCAAAATATTCACTATAGCAAATTTAATCACGTTTAACCTCATTTGATCTTGAAGATATTGATCTAGGGCCATGAAATTGGCACACGATAAAGTTCCCCACCGCCCCACCTACAATTCAAATTCCGTTTTTAATACCCTTTTTTGACTAAACCGGGCCTTTCTCCCCTAGCGCTGGGAAAGTCAGGCGTATTTCCTTTTTGCAACCAAAGAGAGGCGCTGCCGGGAGAATGCTCAATTGCATCATTAAAAAAGAAAACTGGCTTACAGCTCAGCGATGACCAGCTACATTCGTGGCTTAGTAGTTAGTGTGCCGAGTGTACCCAACCCACCTCGTAATCTATAGGTCGCTGGTTCGTGGCTTGTCAGCCTCAAGTGTTTTAACACGCGTTCATTTTTGTTTTATAGTGTTCGTATCTAAGTAGCATTTGGCCAGCCAGCAACTGCCGTGAGGGCTATACATAAGTTTACGCGTGTTAGATTAGGCCAGGTCAGGTTAGGTTTGCTTTGGTTTGATTAACCCTCGCCCGCACATGGGGGGGGTGGTTGCCACCCCCCCCAGGTAGTCTTTCTGCTCTGCACTCAACATTTTTAGAGCTAGAAGGCTGATTTTTCGTATAGCTGCTCCTCTATCCTTTCTTGATGTCCACTGAAAATTTCAAGTTTCTGTGATTTTTGGTTTCGGAGATATGACCTTGTTTTTCAGGTCATGTCATGACCCAAATGGCCAATTCTCAACATCTTGCGTTTGCCATGGGCCTTATGAGCTTTTGACACCCTGATTTCGGCCTTTTTTGCCAGTCTTACCTCCTACCTATCATGGAACATGTTGTTCGACGATGTACAGGGGTCAAGGTCAGGGTCAAGGTCAACCTAGGTCACCTAAGATAATTGCGTTTTAGGCAAGCTGATTTTACTTTTTTTAAGTTTTTTGACTGCGTTTTTGGTAAAAGCTTCTCAGATCATGATTTCATGTAATATGGACCCAAAAACAATCGGTGCACACATCAGTATACACACAGACACACACAGACATACAAACACATATAATTGACCTTGACCTAACTTGACCTGAAATGACCTCAGCAGCAAAATTCTGGTCGGGTAGTGTGACAAAGAGGTTCTAGCTGGCTTGGCACCAGAAAACAGCATCGTCATCGGTATTTGATAAGCAGCACACTTGATATCCAACGGTGACCCAAAACAGCAACATTTTTTAGTTTGACCTGACCTGGAAGGTCAATGACTGACCTGAGAAGGTAAAACTGGGTATCATTGGATTCGTCTCTTCCCAAAGAATCTTTTTGGTCTTTACTGCTAAGCTCTATCTCCAACAGGAACGAAATGGCGCGGGGGGGGTGGCAACCACCCCCCCCCCCCATGTGCGTTCTAGGATGGGAAAATGGCATGTGCGGGCGAGGGTTAAGGTAGAAAGAACCATCTCCGCGTAGCGCCTCTCCTTGGTTGCTAAAACGAAACGCGCGAGTGCCAGACATTACGAAGTCCAAAAGACAGTTACGTAGACGTCGGCCCATTCTGAAATTTTCATATGAAGTAGCTAATGTATGGAAGAATAAAATATGCAAAAATCAGCAAAATCGAAGGGTACCCATTTTTCAGAAATTCAAAATTTATTTTTTGAATTTTAATTATGCTCACTAATTAGTTAATGACGTCCATATTGTGATCTTCAAATTAAAGCCTGATCTATTCCCTCCATTTCAAACTTTGTCGCGTGGTGATATGTCTAAAACTTTAAAAGTTATGACGCTTTAAAGATGATAATGTGCCTTGCCGAAGTCAAGGTTTGATGACGTGTATCTCGGAAACGTGACGTCATATCTTGGCAAAAAAATGTCTTCTTTCTTTTCACTTATAGATGAGTAGGTTCACAAAGTTTCGCAAAAATCGGAGGAGGTGAGGTTCAAAATCGTCATTTTTTGTCCCACTTGACGTGGAATGCCCCTATACGGCTCGTAGCGTGGGCTATAACAGGAATGGTAAGAGGAAAACAACATGCGACGAGTTCGTCGTGTGGTGGCCCGAATGGAAACTGTGGAAAAGTTTAACAATGGTCTTTATTTCAACCCGAACGGAACAATTCTATTGTGGCCATCTCATTAAACATTCGTAGCAAAAATGTAGGTACCTTATTATTTTCAATGCTCATTAGGAAGTATGTCCAAACAGATAATTTGAATTTCATGATGTGTGGTTCTTCGTGCAGGCTAATTTAACCTTGAATCGCACGGCCATTGTCTTTCTTGTCCTTAGAGCCGAGCCTGAACGTTTACACTGTTATTCAGTTTGTTGTTAGTGTCCGAACTGCACTCGACCACTGATGTGACCCTGAAGGTCGGTATAGCTGGTCACGGCCAAGGCCATCTATAGAGTCACGGCGATAAACAGACGGCTCTTTAGATAGGATTATGTTCATGCGGACTGTGGCCATAAGAAAAAGTGACGGGTTGAAGTGAACGGAAGAAGCGACAGCGATAAATTTTTAGATTTGCCTGGTTTAGTAGGCGAACTCAGGGAAGCTAGTCCACGGACCACTATGCGGACCAACAATACAGGTCCGATTCTTCACTTTTATTTCTCTGCTTTGTGAGAAATTCATGTGTCTGATAATTAAATGCCAATTTATCATCCTGAATATCCTGATGTTTCAGGGGGCAGATTTGCATGCCTGTCACATCATCCTGTTGACCGGGGCAGTTGAATTACTTCTTTTTTTCTGCAATGCTCTGTTGGACCGGGGCAGTTAATTTACTTTTTCTGACTGTGCGCTGCTCTGAGCCCCGTACCCGCAGCCGATGACCATCTCTCCCCTCCCACAGATCTTCCGGCGTCGGGTGGAGGAGGAGAACCGCAGGCAGCACCTGTTCAACAACGACGTCACCACTCAGATGTTCCTCAACATCCAGTCGATCCACCAGTTCCACCGGGATCACCTCCTGCAGGAGCTGGAGGCCCGGCTCAAGGACTGGGACAACAACCCCAGAATAGGTGAGCACTCGGGGTCTCATATGTAGACTTGGGACTGGGCTGTCCGAAAATGCGTGTAAGCGGCCGTGAGAGTCAAAATGTTCATGGTCGTGTTTCGATTTAGGCCGAAAGTTGTGGAGTAGCTAGGATCGCTAAATACGACGTTTGTTTGCTTATGGGATGTGCTTATGGTTTGACCGAAATAATCGCCAAGGGACATGGTCCCAACAAGTATGACCAAATGACCAGCATCCCACGAATTGGAACATATTCAGTCGGATCCTCGTCATGGTTCCCATTCCATACGCCATCTGCCGCTGTGGTTGTGACGACTGCGGCGATATCACGACCACAGGGCCATCCGCCGCCGCCTCTGGGAACATGGGAGCACATTACACGAGTTACGCCACCAGTCGGTGAGCTCATCATGACATGTCCACCGTCCGTCTGGCGTCTGTCCGGCGCGGTGGACCGGAAACAGCCGTCGCCGCAGACGTCGACGCGCGTCCGCCGGTCGGGGACAGACGAGCGTGGGTGATGATCGTCATGTTTTCCCTGTATCGTGGTGGTCTGGCATTGATGGCGCGCAGCATTTAGGCAAACCAAGGGATGATATAAGTGATGCGGCAGAAGTGGCTCCGAGGCCGTTTGGTGCTCAGCTGAATTAAAATTGTGACAGAAAAAAAACAACTTGTTAAGGGCAGCAGTGAGACCATCAGAAACCATCGGGTCACCGAATTAACGATGCTAATTATTCGATCAATTAACACGCGCAGTGGAAGGGGGGCGGATTTCGCCCACCCCTCCTGTTTTTCGCCAATAACTCGCGCCGCAAGCATAACATCAATGTGAAATTTCGGCTACCTGTCCAGAATTGAATTGCGGATCTTCTCGTGCAAGAAGTAAGAAAATCGGTTCACAACTTTTCTAGTAATAGCGGTGTAAAGTCAAACATCCTGCCGCCGCGGCGGCGCGGCGGCGCGGCGGCCGGCGCTAGCCGTTACGCGCCGCCGCCTGAATTGTAGACTGTGCCGGGGCGGTACGGTTCCGTCTTTACATCGCGCTCCCAGGCGCGTAACCACGAGTCCGAAGTCACTGGGGACCACATGGAGGGCTGTGAACACCAAATATTATATTTCAGGATCAGCCTTCGCCCGAGTGGGGGAGGGGGGAGCGTTTTTGGCCACACCTGCCATTTTTTTTGCGCGTGTAAGGGAAACCACCGCGCGCACCGCCGCGAAATTTCGAATAGCTTATGATACCTCAATTTCGCATCATGTGTGAAGATTTTGACCCCAGGTCACCTGAGGTCAGGTCACCAGGTCAAGTAAAGTAGGGGAAAGTGGGGTAAGACGGGCACCTTAACTTCGGAGCCATTTTCGGCCGGTTAGAAACATCATAGAAACGGGAAACTGAGTGAAAACCTTTTTTTAGACATTTTACTTCCATTTGCCAGAAGATGAGACTTAGACCTGATTCAACAAATAAACTGCAGCCATTTTTGCAAAACCTTGCAAAACCCCATCTTACCCCACCCCATGGGGTAAGACGGTCTCATGGGTAGGGCAAGACGGCCAGCTTCTTTCACCGACCAGCACAGCTCGCAGCAAATGCCCGAGATTAGCCGCATTGATACAGTCGCTCGTTGGTCTCAAGTGCTTCGGAAATGGCAGTATACGAGATTCGAGCAGAAGGCGTATGCTCGTATATAGGCCCTAGCCCCTAGTTCAGAAGCCATGTAGAGCCGTTTTTCACATTCATTATTCGAGAATAAACTGTGCCGAAGGAATATTGCTAACATGTCTGTGAGTATCGGAATCGAACATATTCTTATTAAAAATGCTTCTTTTTTCCTACAGCAACACAAAATATTTTCACCATTACAGACCCATTGGATTCATAGTTGCCCGTCTTACCCCAAACTCAATGTCAGAAGTTCAGCACGATTTTTATCTGTGGACAATTTGATGCAGACAAAGCAAATCCGCGGTGAATGAACACTGCAGGCATATGAGTGTACCACAAGTGATTACCAGTTTTTAACTTTAGTGCTGCACACAAAAGCTTGCACAATACATTATGAATGTTTTCAATGAAATGAGTGTTTTAAAGAAATCAAAATAAAAGATTATTGACTGAACACAAATTCACCAGACTTCAATGGTAGTGTGTAGTGGGAAAGGCAATTCTGGTCCTAATTTTTCTTGCTCATAGCGCTATTGGTTTGGTCTGCAGAAGGGGTACCCGTCTTACCTACCCTGACCGTCTTACCCCACTTTCCCCTAACCATGCCTAAGAAAAAAAAACTATGTGACTGTCATTCCTACAGTAAACATCCATCCAAGAGTTTGAAACTCGAGCTTTTGCATGACGAAATCAGTGTGAACAATTCGCATACCTATCTCTAAAGTTTTCACATCGGTGACCTAATGTCAGGTCAATTTTGCGAGCTCTCCATTTTCCAATTTTCTCCCATAAGTCAATGGGAGGAAATTGAAATGATCTTCTATTGGCCGAAAACACAGGTAAAAATGACACACTGAAACGGTAAATTGCAACTGTGACCCCTTCTATGCCCTTGAGGTCATCTCAGGTCATGAAACATCTCCATGAGTTGTTACCATAACTTTAGGTAGAAACACGCTAGAACGCTGAAAACACCATGAATGTGTTCAGCTCAACAATACCAACCGAATGACATGCAACATGACCTTTTCCGTGACCATGTCCTGAGGTCGATTTTTTCCAGACTTATAATTTATTCGACGAGACAAACGCGATGCCGTAAAATCAGCGTCATACAAGTTTGGAGTCAAAAGTTATGATACAAAAACCTATTCCGCAAAAACGCCAACCTGGAGGCTAAACCGTTGACCTTAGGTCAAATCTGAGGGCATTGGTCAGAAAGGCATTTGAAAGAGCTATCGAATGCGCTTCTCCGCCGCATTGAAGCTCTATTGGTTCCCGACTTATGCGCCGATTTGTGAAAAGTTGTCAAAATTGGAAACAAAAGTTCGTGAAAATTTTAACTTTGGTGACCTCCAGTGACCTCAGCGATGACCTGATCAAAAATAAGTGTAATTCTGAAACATACTGTAGCGAGCTAGCTGTTGCTTTTTACTGCGTCTTTCTTAATTGCTTACTTTCCGAGATAATCTGCAGTTTGGCCAAAAAGCCCCCCCCCCATGGAGAAGTTGGCTGAAGGCCCACCCAGGCGAGGGGCAGGCAGGGCTAAACAAAACATCCTTAGTTTTGTCTTCCGTTGACTACATATTACTCTTCACGTCGATTTAGAGACAATATTTGGCTGTTTAAGCAAATTGAGTATGAGGATGTCGTCGGTTTCACTGGGGACGGTCCCCAGTAACCCAAAAGTTACTGGGGACCGGTCCCCAGTGTCCCCAGTGGTGGTTACGCGCCTGCGCGCTCCTTACCGCTGATTATATTAGATTCGCGTCAAATTCGGTGAGAAGACTGAGAAATGTACAGGCAATCATATGGTCAAAGAATTTTGAAAATCGGCCGGTAACAACTTGAGTTATGAGTGTGTAAACACAAAATTGTGATTGCCGCGTTTCCCGCGTCGGCCGATGCCGCTTCAGCCGGCGACATCTTACCCTTCGCAGACTTCTAACTGCCATATTTATTGTTGGATTATCTAGAAATTCACCATACATACTCACAAATGTTTGCTCTTTCGTATAGTGAAAGATTAAAAAAAATCGGCCGGTAACTTTTTGAGTTATCGGCGTGTAAACGCAAAAAAGTCGCTAATATGGCAGATTTGACCACATTTGACCTCATTTGACCTTGAAGTTATTGACCTAGGGTCATGAAATTCACACACAACAGAGTTCCTTATGGCCCCCACCTACCCTCCAAATTTCGTCTTTCTAGCTCCAGTGGGAGCTGAGATCTTAGGGGGGGGCGACATCCGCCCCCCCCCCTTCCACTGGGCGTAGTACTCGCAACCCTTCCACTGCGCGTGTTAAAACACTACATGATCGGCAAGAATGGCTGGCTGTTGTGGTACCTTTCTAATGACATATGTCGTTTATGTACTAAGCGAGACATTTACACAACTCTGAAACCCATTGAACCTTATTATCTAGGAGCCTTAGTGCAGATAAACCAACCCACGGGAAAGCTTTAGCTGGAAAGAGGCGGTAAGAGAACGTTCATGCTGCGGAGAGACCGAAGGCAGTGAAGACCGGAGCCGGATTGTTTAGCTGCAGAAGATAAGACGTCTCCCCTCGCTGCGGTTTGTTGAAGGTCGTTTTTGCTCCCTCAGCCGTCTCCGCTAACTGGCTCTGCAGCTTCTCAGGCTCGCTCCCTCCGCCGTCGCTGCCTTCCAGACATCACACACCCGCCGGTCACCCTCCAGTCCATCCAGCTGCGTCCCCCACGTTCCAGCCAGTCAGCTCGTGGCCGAGCCGACACCAGCGGCCGAGCGTGTCGTCGGCAATGACCGAAATGACGGGCAGTGGGCCAAGGTCCAGCCGCCGCCGGCCGCAATGAGCGCCCGCGGCCTGGGAGTCGGGATGCAGGGGAAGCAGAGGGGTGAAGGGCTATCGCGCCGTGCAAGTCAAACGGGATGATAGCTGAAGTGGCCGGTGCAGGGTGGTCTGACTATGAGAGCTACTCCGGCTGTTGATTGACCGTGATTCTGAGCAGCACGGCTTATCCAGCTTTAGATGGATTTAATGTCACAGCAAGGGTGTTCCCTTCATCATCAACTGCTTGACGTGATTCCGTGTACCATTCTTAAACTTTGATCGTGATACTCTCTTCGCGTGGCCCGCATCCCTCCATGTCATGTTCTTCTCTTTGCGGCGTCTCTGTCTCACTGCCCTGGCCCTAAGGCGGTGGAAGTTCGGTGTCCCCTTACTATGTATTTGTGCTCTGTGCTCTGCAACTTCCTAATAATCATACCAAGCAGACGACTGCAGCCTGTAGGTAAATGCCACATGCTGCGTGCGCCAGTTTAGTGCTGCGCGGGACTGCCGTCACATATGCCGCTCAAAACTGTCACAAGTCACGTGCGACAGCGCCAGGGTCGCCGCAGCTGCACGTGCGGCTTTCTGACAGCTCTAAAACAACCCTCGTCAGTCGGGACACTGCACGAGACACTGGTCTGAACATTATACTGGACACTGGTCCGAACATTGGGAGGCCGTCCGGCAGCCCGTCTCCAGCTCCCCAGATCTGCCGCTGCCGACTCGGCTGACTAGCGTGACGCAATGGCCTACGCAGAAGAGCGGTCGGACGATTATGCGTTTATCAGATGGCCCTTCACGCAAGCAGTGTGCGTAGGAGTTCCTAGAATATTCGGTCATGGTTCTGGATCAGCGTGTAACGGTAGCGCTTACTTCTGAACATTTCTTCGAAAAACGGCTGGTGGACCCCTAGCTGAACTTGGAATCGTTTCGTCGTTCGAATGCAGAAGGTTTAGTCACTGCTACGCAAAGCCTTGGGGATATTCATTATTCACAAGAATTTCTGCCACCATCACTTATTCACCACGATCGTCGGAGCTTGGCTCACAGTGCAGCGGGGTGTGACTAGCATTGAAGTGGTTTTAAATTGTCAGTCATCCAGCCACTTAATAGTAATTAGTATGTAGGTAAGGGAAGAGACATCGAAGAGGGTCAGGGAGGGGCGGAATAGGCTATATGATATGTGCTCTGATACCTGTAGGAATAGCTACTCTGTTTGTTACCTACATTAATCCTCGCGTGTCACCAGATGTGTCATATACCTACCGGTCAATCAGGGAGTGGGCCGCTGGGGCTCCCGTGATGCTTCGTTCACCGTTGACACTTATATAGATACATGAGTGACCTGGTGCACCCAATTACCGAAGGCACAAATTGGGGCACCCCTAATAGCCCCACTTTGTTCCTGTCCGTGGGAATGTTGTGATGACTTCAATTTGAAAGTTAGGTTGCAGCGAACGATGCACAACAGCACAACCATCACAAAAATAGGATCTACCTTCTAGGAATAGGACCTACCTTCTAGGTATGTGTTTTATTTTTACCTAATGCTTTCTTTTTTAACTGTAATGCATTTTGCATACTGCACCGGGCTGAAAGACTTATTATAAGGAACCGTGTTTGTCTGTCAGGTGACATTATGAAGAGGTCGGCGCCGTTCCTGAAGATGTACACCGAGTACGTCAGCGGCTACAGCAACGCCATGAACCTCATCAACACCTACCAGCAGAAGTGCCCGCAGTTTGCCGCCATCATGGATCGAATTCATGTGAGTACCTACATATAATGCTGATGGCCAGTGGCGGCGGAACACCTTCAATTAAGGGGGGGGGGGGGTACTGCCACTTTTTGTCCCATTCTTTCCATGCAACGCCCTAGGGCCATATATGTTAAAATGCAAAAATCAAAGGGGGCACGGTGCCCCGGTGCCACCCCCGCTCCGCCGCCTAATGGCTGATGCAGCTATACCTATTTGTCTTCCCGTCTTCCGCTGTTCGGTAACTTCAAAGAATCTTTACCATGCTCCGCTGCAGAGTTCAGTTACGATCATGTGATCTGATAAGACGACAAATTCCCGTCTTTATACCCTATATACACAGTGCATGTATCGTATTTTAACGATGTAAAAATATGCTTATAATGGCTGATGCAACGCAATGTCTATGTAGTTAAGACACTGATTAGAATTACGATAACAACCCATAATTGCATCATCACATTTTCTGGCGTTTTTGCTGGGATGACCCTTTATCCTGTCGCTTCCCTCCTTTTCCTTGTCATCAGCTCATTTTATTGGCTTATGGGCGGGGGCTACAGCGTCATCGACGAAACCGGTCTGACTCACTTGTTGATACTAGAGACCGGAACGGGCCCTACCTAAAAACACCGCCGCACGAAATCGTTTGTGGGCGGGCGAGCATCTTCAGAGGATGGGTGTTGGCGGAACAACGCGTCATTTTAATCCCGAGTAGTCTGAGTCGGTTACCCGAGAATTAACTCCAGTTCCAGCGAGGCCGTCAGTTGAGTCACTATCGATTGTGACGTTCTTGCCAGCTGACTGGGCAGGCCGGCCTTGTGCGACATTGCACCCCGCGATACCCACCGATTGTGTCCTATAAGGTGGCTCGGGTGGGCGATTCCTGGATGCCCGTCGGCGCGGGCCGTCCAGACACCCCCAGCGTTCCGTCACGAGCCACCCTAATGTCGCCGCGCCGCTGACGCAGGCTAAAAACATCACTGACGCCAAAACAGCGTGCCTGCGCGCGACCGGAGTCTTGGAAAACAGCGATGATTCAGTACGGTGGGACAGCCACCGATGCACGGAGGGTCCACTTTTGATAAAGTCGCGATAGCTTCTGCGCATACGTTGTTCGATTTTCCGGTGTAGGCGTGGGTACTTCTGCAGCCTCTATCTGACACGTTATAGTGGTCCAGCCAGTTATCGTGTCGCTCCCAAGTACGTCTACCAAGAAACAGCATTCGAGCAGCTCCTATACGGGCAGATTATATAAGACGGACGCACGCGGACGCGCTTGATACGCTTAGCTGCGATAGCTTTTAGAGCACCCGAGATGCGTTTGTCGGTGACGGCGGATGTGCCGCTTGTCGCTAAGACTTGCCGACTAACGAAAAATGACATATACAAAGATAAGCTCGCATCACTTGTGAACTTGTCCATAGGATGCTCAGATGCTCGAATGTCTCCCTAGCCGACTTCCATGTCGCCATATATTCGCCTTCATGCGCTGTCTATGCGCTGTCTTTGTCATAGCGGCTATATGCTGTTTAAAATGTGCCTATTTTTGTATTCCTCAGTAATAAAGGTATACTTCCCCACAATAATTCAATACATATATTGCTGCTCCAAATGCCGGTAACCGTTCAGCTGTTCAATGTCCATCTATACCTATATATAGTAGTACAGAGCAAGCAGACTATCAATGTATTAAAAAGCAATTTCGGTATTATTCCAATTTTCTGCTCGTTTATGCCAGTTCGATTGTGACCTCGGTCCCCTGATGTTCAGCCCCTATCCCTTGTCTGATGTTCAGGAGATGGACGAGTGCGTGAACCTGCCGCTGCAGCACCACGTCATCGTGCCGGTGCAGAGGGTGCCGCGCTACGAGCTGCTGCTCAAAGACTATCTGCAGAAGCTGTCTGCCGACTCACCCGACAGGGCCGACGCTGAGCGTGAGTAGAGGGAGAGGGAGAGGGAGAGAGAGAGAGAGAGAGAGAGAGAGAGAGAGAGAGAGAGAGAGAGAGAGAGAGAGAGAGAGAGAGAGAGAGAGAGAGAGAGAGGAGACTAGGAGAGGAGAGGAGAGGAGAGGAGGCGAGAGGAGAGTGAGAGGCATGGCCTAAAGAGCCAAAGAGGTGAAATAAGATGTCAGGGTGAATTGCTAAGTACTGAACCTACCTATGTGTCTTATAAGCGATGAACACGACAGTACGCTACGGAGCGGATATGCAGCTTAATTAACCCGCGCCGGGCCGGTGCTCTGAGATTCCGCGCCGGGCCGGGGGGGGGGGGTGTCTGAACACCCCCCCCCCTTCTAACTCGGCTCCTGGGCCACGTAGCGACACGCGGTAAGCGGCAATCGAAAGAACGTCCAAAATAAGGACGAAAACACTTCGGTCATTTTTTGGGTCAGGTCAAAGGTCAGGTCGCCAGAGGTCACCAAAGGTCAAATGTCCACTATTTCAACATTTTGGAAACTGCCAACGGCTATCTCGGGAACCGATAGAGCTACAGCGCCGCGGAAAAGCGCATTCGATAGCCCTTTTACAGACCTTTCTGAGTATTGTTCTCAGATTTGACCTCAGGTCAACGGTTTAGCCTCCAGGGGGCAAAAACTCCAAAAATAGCCGTTTTTACGAAAAACGTTTTTTCGGCAATAACTTTTGACTCAAAAGAGTCATGACATTACTTTTGCCACCATCGTGTTCCTCTCGTCGAGACGCGTCGAATGAACTATAATTTGACCTTGAAAGGTCAACTTGAAAATTTGACCTCAGGTCAAGGTCATGACCTGACCGGAAAAGGTCATGTTGCATATCAGTCGATCCGCAACGTCGAGCCGAACACATCTAAGGCGTTTTCAGCGCTCTAGCACGTCTCTATCAGAAGTTATTAGCGAAAAACTGTTAGATTCTGTTCGTGACCTGAGATGACCTCGGGGACATAGCGAGGGGTCACAGTTGCCATTTTCCGGTTCAGTGTGTCCATTTTACCTACATCTCGATGTTTAAGAGTGTCTAGAATAACGTTCGTGCAAAACAGACGCTTTTCAATTTTCTCCCATTGACTTATAATGGAGAGGTCGCAAAATTGACCTGACCTTAGGTCACCGATATCAAAATTCCGAGATATACATTTTATAGATATTGTTGCTCTAATCAATCGCTGCAAGTTTCAAGGCAATCAATCAATCGGTGTAGCTATGACGAGCATTCTTATTTTTTCTGAGGTGAGGTCACTTGGCGTGACCTGGTGACCTGACCTAAGGTGACCTGGGTCTGAAATTTTCACAACATGTGCGGAAAAGATGCACGAACAGGTGTGCCAAAAACGGCGGCGCTCCGCGCCGCCGTTTTTGAGATATCTGCGAAAAACCGCAGGGGGGGGGGTGTTCAAACACCCCCCCGGATATACGAGTATGGTGGAGAATCCGTGTTAGGGCGTTTACTCAATGACCTCACCATCAAACTGTCCTTATCGTTACAAGCCTGCTATCGCTCATGTACTGGGATTCCTAGGAAATCGGTATCAGGTGCGAGACCAGGCAATGATACGGTTTTATAACGGCATATTCTCACGATTCGCATCTAGCCACCAACCTGTGCGATTTCGAGCACAGTGCAGTGGTTGGGTACTATGGCAGCCGTTGCTTCCTACAGCTTTCATCATCTGTCACGTATGTATGTATGTATGTATGTATTGACATGAGCTGACCAATCCACACTGAAGGGCTATTCTTAGGTCATTGTCTTACACTAGAAAAAAACATGATATACATGAGACAAAGGTGTAAATAGCCGTACAGAGTAAAAATAAAACACTTAAAATGCATGATACGATCAAAACGATGAAAACGGTTAAATTGACGAAGCTACTTCTCTGGCGCGCTTTTTAAAAGTCCGCGTGGTAACATTCACATCACACAGCCTATCATGGTAGGTATTGTATAAATGGCCAGAACGGTAAGCAAATGATCTTTTTCCATGATTGTTCCTGGGGCGCTCGAGATACAGATGGCTTGATTGCCGCGTCACACGTTCAAGAGTCTGATGATTAAATCGATATTGGGATGACAGAGATGATGGACAATCGGTCGTGATGACTTGATGCAACATACAGAGATCAAAATAAGCGATAAACTGCCGCGAATCTAACCATTTAAAATCTCGAAGTACATCCGAAATGTGGTCATATTTACGCCTATTTGAAAGCAGTCTGGCCGCAAAGTTGAATATCTTTTGAATCTGTTCCAGTAACTCGCCGTTACAGCTACCATACACTTGAACACAATACCTGACGTGTGAAATAACTAACGCATCTACAAGCTTGGGCATCACATCAAGAGGCAACACATGTCTAGCATGGAATAAGCCAACTAAAGTGCCAAAGCATCGCTGTGAGATTAACTTAACGTGATGACTCCAAGATAGATTCTGGTCCATGACAACACCTAGATTTTTTACATGTGAACTGGGTTTCAGACACTCGCCCATGAAAGATATTTCAGGCATCATATCAATTCGCGACAGTTGCTTACGATCACCGCAGATGATTACCTCAGTTTTGGATGCATTTACTTTCATACCGTGTTGAAGGAACCAGGTAGCCATTCTGTCCAAAACATATTCCATGCATCTAGATAGTTCTGATAGGCGATTTCGTTGTCCCGCGTGATTGCTACTTGCGTGTCGTCTGCGTATCTAACTGTTGTGATTTTGAATCCCCTCATTTCGGTCGGCATGTGACAGGAGATGTCGTTAGAGGCGATGTTGTAAAGAAGGTATCCGTCACTTGTAAAGTGACGTATCCGTCACTTTTCTATTTTCCGTAACGTGATTGGTACGTTTGTGGCCACCGACCTTATCTGTCACTCCACGAGCTGCGATGCTCATTGTTCGAGGTGTGATGTGATATGACCTTCGGGACCGTGAGCTGTAGGAGTAGATAACATACCAGCTGCCCCTGCAGAGCTGCTCACCGGCCGAGAAGCGGCATACTGTGCTCGATGAAAGCAGCAGCCACCTTTGCGAAACAGTTTAACGTTCTCTTTAAATGTGCCACCTATGCAAGTCAACTAAACGTTCTCTTAAAATAAAAATTTAACTCGCCGCTTTGAGTCGATGAAACACTCAAAACTTTTTTACCACCTCCTGGAGGATTCATTTTTACCAAACCCGCAAGATAAGAGTATATTAAAAGGGTACCTCGCTGCTACCATTATGTACATGGTAACGGTACGTGGTTAAATTGAAGTTATTCGCCAGCAAAGAGTATTATTACCATGTAAATATCAATATATCTCTCGCAATCCTGAACATGACGAAAACTCTTTCCTCCTGGGTATCGTGACTCGTGTGCAGGTGGTTCTTTCATGCGTGGATCTTGTTTACCCTCGTGAAGATAATATTTGAATGAATATCAATCAGCCAATCAGAAACGAGATCGGCCGTTTGCGGTTTGAAGGCCGCGCGCATCTGTCAGTTTTCGGCCGTTGGTCTCCGAGAGCGGATGTGAGCGGTGTCGGTGCCGCGCGGCGTGGCCGTTGGTGATTGTGCTTGTGTGTTGTTCATCGCCTTTAGAGCCTCTGTGGACATTTTATTGTAAGTACCGATGTGATGAGCATTGCGTGCTGTTGAGTGGTGCTAGTTTGATCTGCCAAACAGAACCCCGTGCACGGCCACGTGGCAGAGTGCTGTAAGTAGGTACATAAATTTTGTTGTGATGCATTTTGTTGGTGACTTACAAAAAGCCATGCACTGTAGTGATGCAGTTTTATTATCCCACGTAGACGGGCGACCACCCAGGAACGCTGCCGTTCACTTCAAATGTTGTGGTGCCTTATCCAATTGGAGGGAGCTGAATTATTATTCATATTCAAGTATTCATTTTGAGTATTCGTATTCAAGTTGCTTTCAAGTTGTATCGTGATGTTTATTTACCGCGTGTGCATCGCTGAACGCGTATGAATAAGTGGAGAGTCTCACAATGCTCATGGCTGGTGAACCCCTCGTATTGTTTGTACGGAATGCCAAATATATATTGTTGCTCTTGAAGCATGTTTTTTAGTGATGAACTCCGGTTAACAGAAGCTTCGCGAAGCTTCTGAAGAAAGCGTCTGTGGGTCCGCTACCATCCTCTGGGGGGTTTACACTAAAGGAAAGAGTAAACATTACCATGTGACTAAGGGTAGCCAGAAGGATATACTCTCAGTAAGAGGGTAAATTTACAGATTAGATGGCATCCTACTCTTTAGAGGAGGGTCACGTTCTAGAGTTACTCTTCCGCAGCGTGTAACTTCGAAAATGTTAACCTCTAGACGAGAGTAAATCAAAAGAGTTTACCATACAGAAGATGGTAAAAAACGTCTGTGTGTCACGTTACCCCTCCCTGACGAGTTTACTCTACATGAAAGAGTAAAATTTACCATCTGGAGGGTGGTAAAAAACGTCTGTGTGTCAAGCTACCATGCTATGGCGGGTTTACCCTCCAGGAAATGGTAAAAAAGTTTTCAGTGTTAACGTTCTCTCTATCACGGTGTCATCTTTATGACTCACTCAAACTTCCCCTTTATATTCACCGTTTAGGTACTACATTCTACTTTATTCCGATTATTTACGCAGTGCTTCCACTCCTCATCCACGCCAACCCGCGTTATGACGTTCAGATCCCATCACCGTCCCGTTGCATTGGCTCCATTTTAGCAAACCTGAATGCATTATTCATCCTAAAATTCGCTCAGGCCATTGCCAGTTTACCACCTCCTTCACGGATTCCTCCTCCTTACATCCTACCACCGTCCACTCCTTAGCTGGCTCCACCATGCCCTCGTCCACCTCCCGTCCACCATCTACTCCACATGCTCGGCTCACACCGGCCTCACGCCGCCGTTCCATGCCCCAATTATCGCTACCGCTGCGGTCACCAAGCTTCCTGACCCTCTGGCTACCTGCTCGAGGTCTGCAAAACTCCGTGGGAAATACCGACTTCCGTGGCACGGCCCCGGACTCACTGGTCAGCTTCCGGAACCTCGGGTGCCCAAACTGAAGGTCTCCGTAACTTTGGCCGTGGTCTATTTGTAAGTGCTTCGTGAAGCGCCGCACCGTGGGGACTTGTGGTTATTACGGCCGTAATGGTTACGGAAAACTCGGAAAACTCCAGGAAGCTGGCTGAAAGGCGTTTGTGGAGGATGGTGGTAGTTACGGAAATAATACGTTATAACGTGTTATTTTCGTAACTCATTTTCACTTTCATGGTTTCGTTGGAGCCAGCGGGAGCTATAATGATAATTAATTATTTCCGTTATTTGGTTGCAGAGGCACTGGAGCTGGTCACCCAGGCTGCGAGGCACAGCAACGATACGATGAAGCGGGTCGACAAGTTCAAGCAGCTGCTGGAGATCCAGGAGAACATCAGCGGCGGGCCTGACCTCGTGTCGCCAACCCGCGAGCTCCTGAAGGAGGGCAAAATCTGCAAGATCTCTGCACGAAGCGGCGACCATCAGGAGCGCTACCTCTTCCTGGTAAGATGGTTAGACGCGATGCGTGTTCTTGTTACCTGTTCTTGGACGTAAGATGGCCAAGAGCCATGTGTATTCTTCATGTCTCTTAGTGTTAAGACGGTTGGGAACGGTGTTTGTTTTTAGAGCCTCTTCATGGTGAGAAAGTCTGGATCGATACGTGTTCTTTCGCGTCCTGTTCCTAGGAAGATCATCAGGAGCGGTACGTTTCTAGCACGTGCTCCCGGTGAGATCCGGTCGCTGGAGGTCACACACTGCGTCACAACACTCCCCCATACACAGCCCGACTACGTAATCGCGGTGTATAGCACACAGTGCCGGAACTGGGATGGTCGGAATATGCTAATGCATTCGATGCTGCAGGGCTGTGCCGGGCTGCAGGAATGCCGGGTCAACACACTGCGGCGGAGAGGCGCTTTGTGGGATGTAATCAGCGAGTATGTTGTGTGGTAGTTTCGTTGGAGAGTACATGCGGTGCGTAAGAGGCATAATTTTGTAGTATCGTAAAATAGCGACATCCTTTATTCATTCTGCTTTTGGCATATGATAAGTGTGTCCGTGTTGCCTGACACACACCGCCTCACATTTCTTCTGCGCTACCGTTTTTTATACCGATGCTTGCGGATATCGCGTTACTCTGACCGATAGCTCCACACCATTGCGGGACAGCTGGCGCGTTTTTCGTCCCGGTTAGCGACCGCCATTGGTCCATATGGGGCATCCTATGACGTGCTGATGGGTTCAATGACCGGTCTGTCTGTCGTCCAGCCCACGAACTGTGCTAGTGGGGCCGGTACCGGCCCACGGACTATACCAGCGCGGCGGGGTCAGCCGGTTCCGTACCCCGTGAAACGGTCCGGTGTCGCGTGCAGCCGCGGAGTGGGCCGGCAGGGCGGGGACCTCTGCCTAGCGGTCTTCAGGGTGGAGTCAGACAGGAGGAGCCCTGTTACTGACGTTAAATGACGGGTGTCTTCACTGCCGGCTGCCGTGGCTGCCAATCTGTGTTAATGACAGCAGCCTGATGTGTCTTTGTGTGTTAAGTCCTTTCCTGCTCGTATGGCAGGTGCTGTCCACCTGTCCTGTCGTCCAACTCCTTTGGGCTGCCGTTCACCTCCCCGTCTGACCTCTCCTTCATCGTAACACCTACGCTACTCAAGTGATATTTAACCACCCCAGTCTGACCCCTCTGTCTGTCGCGTCCTCAGTTTTCGGACCTGCTTCTGCTCTGCTCCGCGCGGCTCATCAACAAGCGCATCATTTCGGGACCGGCGTTCCGGCTGCGGGCCAAGTTCAGCGTCGAGGGTCTGCAGGTGCTCGAGGGGGACAACCTGGAGACGCTCAACACGTTCTACATCAGCGGCAGCAACAAGAACGTCGAGCTCTACACACAGTGAGTGACAATGTGGACCACTGCGCTTATTGAGGAGAACGCAACATGCAGTGAGTGCGTATATTGCGTAACTAGTCCTAGAGAAGTAAAGGGAGTGGTGGATCGTTTGATCATCAAGCGCGCTATCAGTCCATTTAATGCTGCTTAACAATGCAAACGGTAAATTTATAGAGGTCGAGACGCATTACGCGCCGTTTTATCACAGCATATCTAACCACGGGTTATGCAGAGTGATGCTATCAGGTCAGCCTAATGCACCATCGTTATGCGCTTCAACCACTGGCTAATGAGGCAGTCTGGCCGTTTCACATTATCGCGACTCAATAGCTGCTAACTCGAGACATCAATAACAAATGCTATTATAGGCGGCTGGTCGCATGATCAGCTTATAACGTTCCGGGACTGGCACGTGATCTCTGATGCTAGCGAGTTCATCAGTTTCTCCTCCTCTCCCCTCCCCTCTCCGATGTCGCCTCTCGTGCCATGGTGTTATCTTCCTCTGACGGAGCGGGGCTTCCGCCCCCCCCCTCCCTCCCGTGGGTGGTCGGTGGCGGTCGCCCTGTCAGGCGGCTGCTCTATCCCCCCCAGGGAGAAGAGGCACTTGTCTGGCCACTGTCCAGACCTTTCTCGCTGCCAGTGTCTTTGCTAGGAATGTTTTGGTAAACGAACTGAGCTGATATAGGGTGTAGCGATTGACCTTTGGAAACAAACTCGAGGAACGTGTGACTCATAGACCAGGTGGGCCACGTCGACCTCATGACCACAAATCGACGACTAGCTAAGCTGCCTTCGTAGCATAAACTAGACAGAACGCCGGTTTGG